GCCTGCTGGGGACGCTGCCAGACCTGGGAGGTGAGCTGCACCCCGGCCGGCCCGGCAGCCCCGGGGACAGGCCTCCAAAGAGTCCCACCAGACAATAAACGGCCTGTGGCTATCTACTAAAGAGGCAAGGGCTGTGTCCTGCCCCACGAGCTCCTCCCGACCACTGTCAGCAGTGTTTGCCCTCTGCTCTTCTCTCCCTCTTCCCACTGCCTCGGAGGGGGATGCACATCATGTGATGCTATTAATGAGGCACTTCTGTAATACTCTTATTATGCAATTTGAAAGGCTCTTATAGCCTGAACACTCAAGGAGAGGATGCCTTTATTGCTTTACTGGAAAACAATTCTTTTGAGATTAAGGTGGAGCTCCCAGCTGATGGGTAATATATTTGGTTCCAAAAAGCGAATCCCAAAGATAAAGTCTGTTTCTAATCTGGTCCTGTTTTAGGTCACAGCCCTGTATAAATAGGAAGTAGTTGTGGTTTTGGTGCACACAAGGGGAGAAAGAAAGAGCATAAGCACATCTACAGACACTGCAGGGAACAGGTTTCTGACTGTCTTCACCTTTCTGCCACGGCTCAAGGGGCCAGTCCCTGTTTCATGTGTCTGGGGAAGCCTCGAGTGACTCCAGAGGGATTCTGTCCACGTGAAGACAAGGGCACTGTATAAGTGACCAGAGGAGGAGCCAGGGTCTGTTAGCCAGCTGTGACTGCCCTCTCTCACTGCTTGGTGGGACGAGGGGAAAGGCCACTGGTGGCCAGGTTTCCTGGGTGGGATAAGGTTCCTTTGGGGGGCATCTTATCACATGGTTCCCCCTATTGCCAAGCTCTTCTGGCGGCACAGACCTCACAGACTTGCTCATCATGCTGCAGTACCACTGGGATGTAGTTAAGCTGAATGCATCTGGCTGTTGGCTCAACAGCTTCTAGAAAGCACCACGAAGTACTTGGATGGGGGATTGGTAAGAGGGAGGGTGTCTGGATATCTTCTTGCTGGAATGTTTCATCTGTTCCTTTCCATGCCATCATCCTCCGTTCCAGGGCAGGCTTTTTACACAGCAGAGAGGGGGGAAAAAGAAAAAAAAAAGTAAAATGTCTCCTGGCTGTGTTACCTTGTGCTGTTTCTCATCTGTGCAAAGGAGAGGAGAAGAGTGAACTCCCAATCCTGTTCACACTGCCCCTTCTTGGGGTCTTTGGAAAGCGGGTGCCCCCGTCAAGGAAGAACTCAGTTTTCAGCAAAAGCAATGCCACTGTGATGCCATGTGGGAGTGTGGGTTCCAGGGCCTTCAGGCTCCCATCCTCTCCTGATGGCTAAGGTCTCTGGCCAAGACGTTTTTCTCATGAGGAACTGCAGTCTTCTCTCCTGGCTGTTGTGCCAAGACTATCCCCCACAGTGTGTGTCTGCTGGGCTTTGTGGGATGTACAGCCTGACTGGGAAGACTGGTCTGGCTGAGAAAAAAATTGTCATTTGGCATCTGAATATCCCTCTGCTCTTAGGCAGCTTGTGCACACAGAAGGCTTTCCAGCAGAATGCAATTTCTTTGATGGAAAATCAATCCTTTTGGAAGAAAGCAGCTGCTTTTGGCAAACGTGCACATTTGGTTGAAACACTAGTTTTCTGCTGAGAACCAGCTCTTTGGGTAGGCTTTTGTCTTTCTTCAAGCAGCTTTAATTGAAGCTTGATGCTTTAAACAAACACACACACACTCACATCCCTCCATGGCAGGGCTCCAAGAGGCAAGTGCTGAAGGCTGTAACCTAAAAAATATTTCCATGGCCCCTTCCACCTGATACAGTGGCTCCCCTGTTTGCACTATATCCCCCTGAGGAAACTGGGACTCCAGATGTTTGTCTTGCTTCTTGCCTGAGGCCAACATTTCTCCTCCTCAGAAACCAGTGCTGGAACCACCTTATGTCGAGTCTCACCACCGTGTTTGCACCTACAACGAGACCAAGATGGTGACAGTGAAGCTGCCCAAGTGTGCCCCTGATGTGGATCCCTTCTACACCTACCCAGTGGCCATCCGCTGTGACTGTGACATCTGCTCCACTGCCACGACTGAATGTGAGACCCTCTGAGCTCTCCTTTCCCAGGTCAGGAGAGAAGGGGCCACATTCTTCCCTGGCTTCATAACCCTGGTACCTCCAGCACTGCAGGTGGTGTCAGTCCAGAATTTGATCTCACCCTGTAGTCCTTCTAATCATTGATTTTTTTCTGGGCAGATGAGGCTTAATCCCCTCTTCTCACACTGTTCAAAGCATTGTTGCTGTAGAAATGTAGTACACAGCTTTACATTAGCATATCCTGGGGTTAGAATAAATGATGCAGTTTCCCTCCCTTACAGGCTTCTCACACTCTGTGACCTTTCCTCATGCACAAAGTGCACATGGACTGAAAAGTCCCTGGGGGGTGGAAACAGGCCACAAAGGCATTGATGCTTCTGCAACAGCCTCTTTATTCGTGGTGGGGTTATAGCTCCTTTCCAGTAATGTAAATGCAGTTACCAACATTTCCACCACCATGCCCCCACCATTGGTTCTTCTTACCCTGAGATATCAGGAGTAACAGTCAAAGAAAAGGCCCTAAGGCCAATGAACTGGAACTGGGCATCCAGATTGTTACCTTGAAATTAGGGTGAATGCACACTCAGCCCTGACTCAACAAACTACTTAAGCTCATGATTAAGTGTTTTGCTTAATATCAGTGGACTTTTACAGTTAAACACATATTTCAGTGATTTGCCTGACAGGGGCTATTCTGCTGGAAAAAGATTTTACTTTACAATTCCTTAAAAAATAACGAGTGAAACCCACTACATCTGTAAAACCAAAAGTGCACATCTTCCCATTTGCTTTTGTCCAAGGATAGGAGAGGAGCTGACTTCATGTAGAATCAGCAAGACGTTGTGGAGCCCAAGGATACTCTCCTGACAGTTTTGAGAGTTAGAGGGACCAAGCCATAACGTGATGACCGTGGTTTGGTTTCAGTGAGCCCCTGGCTGAGGTGGTGGGAAAGCGTGAGCTCCAAAG